GCTCCATAGGGTGGGCACCCCTGGCTGGGGCAGGGACCCCCAGGACCCCCATGCAGAGGAGCTATGGCCTCATCTCAGTGGTGTGGGACCTTCCCCTCCTCTGGGGCTGCACTGACCCGGTGGGGAACAGGCACTCTGCAAGTGGTGTACATAAGCTGATGCCACCATTTACATTCTCCCTGCTCTTTCCATCCCTTGTTTCACTTCACTGTCATTTTATGGCTCATTTTAATTTCTTGAGAGAAGACCCACAGCATAATAAGGTCTAGAGCTGTGGAGGGTCCTGAGGCAGACACTGTGTCTCCACCCAGAGGAGACACTGGGAGCACCGCTAACGTGCCCGTGTCTGGATCAAGCGGTGGCATGATCCCATCCCCTGTGGGGGAGCAGGGGCTGTCTCTGCTGCACCAGAGGAGTTGGGTGGCTGCACAGGAGCTGATGTGCTGGGGCCTGTGGGAGAGCCAGCTCCGGGCCTCTCTGCTTGGCGTTTCCCTCATCCCTTCTCCCAACACAGGCACCTCCAGGGCCCTCCTGGCCAAGGCACTGGAGAGCCTCAGCCCTCCTCCGGGTCCTGTTCCTACCCAGGCTGTCCCTGGATGATGCCTCCAGACACTGGCTTGTGTCACTCACACTTTGACTTTGCCCGAGGCTATGGGTGCTCTTTGCTAGCCTGATGCCACTGCATATGATGAAGTATCTATTCGCCCTGTTAGGCAAAGATGCTGACAACAGACCAGGGTTTTGGTGATTCGGATGGTGACAATGCAAGGGGAGAGAGCTATGTTGAGAAATAATTGCTTTGTCTTTTGCAGAGGTATTAGTGCTTCCATGCTGGCAGTTACAGGAATTAGCTCAAGGTATTGGTGGCAGAAATACAGAAGAAAATTATTGCTACTTCTGCTCGCTTTCATGTGCATGAGAGAAAAAGACGTTATCAGGGCATGAAGAGGAGAAAGAAACAGGGCCAGAGGAGTTCTGGGGTCTTTGGCATCAGGCTGGTGCACCCTTGGGCTCTGCTCTGGAGGCTGGGGGGTTGCAGGTGTGGCAGAGCCCCTCAGGAGGCTTCTCTTCTCTGGCTTGTGGAGCTGCTGCTCCATCAGGAGCACCTGGGGATGCACCAGGCTCTAGTGATGCCCTGCTCTCCCGCTGTTTGTTTCTCTCTGACTCAGCAGCATGGTTCCTTGCAGTCAGTGTCCTGCCTGTCCCCCGGCAGCAGGGCTGGCCGCAGAGTGAAGTCGGATGTTGGGGAGAAACAGGTCTCTGCTGAAACGAGGCCATCCATGCTTTCAGATATTAAATCCCATGCAGAATATTAAGTACTTTCCTCTTCAGTGATCCCAGTAGATTTAATTAGCTCTTGTTCCCTGATAGAGTTGTCTCTGCGATCCCGAAGCGCTGCTTTTGGAGCAAGGGGGAACTCCTCTCCCATCTGAAGCGCTGCTGTCCTGCAGCATGTGCGCTGAGGGGTGCGTGCAGCCCCTCTGTTGTTGCTGCATTTCTGTTCCCACTGCTGCCTCCCTGCTCTGTACTGGGACTTCAGAGCAGGATCTTGGTTCCATCTGCAGCGATGAGAAGCAGGGTGAAGGGACCCTTCCTCCCTGATCTGGCTCCTGTGGCTTGGCTCTGGGATGCTGCCGGAGGCAGGTTTTATAGGTGTTGCTGGTACAGCTTTGCTCAGAAGGTGTGAGAGCTTCTCCGCCTGGAGGGTGATGGTCTGGGGAAGGGGAGGAATCTGCTCTGGGCAAGCTGGGAATATCAGCGGGATGCGGGTGACTTGTCCAGGCATTTTCTGTGGCCATTTGAGAGCTGGGTCCCAAGGGTGGATGGAAATCACACGGTGCTTGACTTTCAATAGAGATGTTTGATACTGGTGCTTTTTTGGTGCTTGGTTTGGTTTTTAACTTTCAGAAGCTCAGAGTAAAGGGTGGGGGGAAGAAAACCCCTTCCTGATGGAAGGGGCTCATAGGTTATAAATGCATCCCTGGCACGGTTCATTAGCTGCTGTGACACACCGAGAGCTATGAGCGGTCTGATACCAGCAAATCAGTTCAGGATTTCATTGGAGCAGAGCATGTGGGGAGCTCTGGTCATGCCAGACGTTACCAAAGGGTTCACCTCAGCCCAAAGAGCAGCTCTGCTCTGGTGCCTCCTCCTGCCTGTGCTGTGCAACCTGCAACATAAACAAACAAACAGGGACCTGATTTACTGATGATTAATTTGCATAATTAGTGCTGTGTCAAATCACTCCACCGAGGTGAAGGCACGCTTCGGGTAGGTGTTTGCATGGGCAGCTTTGGCTCACGCTCACCGTGTTTCATGTCTTGTGAGGACGTAGCATGAGCGTTGATGGGATTTCCTGGAGGCAAAATGGGAGGTGAGAGGCCGCCAGGCTTTGTGTGCCCTGTCCTGCTGCTGGAGCAAATGTCCCTCCCCAAAAACATGTGCCAGGAATGAGCTAAGACCCAGCTCTGCCCATGGCACAAAACAATGTTGGCTCCTCGGAGAGCGCTGTTGATGTGGTGGCTGAATCCCGGCTGTTTCATGTCCACCCGCTGCTCGCCACAGCTCTGCTCCAGAGCTGCTTTGGGAAGGTCCTGGACACTGAGGTGGCTGCAGGCTCTTTGCTGTGTCTCCCCTGGAACAGGGGAAGTGGCTGCAAACCCCCCATCAACAAAGACATAACACCACATGCGATGCTTGAGAGGAGGCCAGCTGTGGGCAGCCCGGTTGTGTGGCCGCTGCCCTCGCTCCTTGCCCCTAAAGGGGATCAGATTGTTCTCCGGATCCTGGCATTGTTTTGGTAATTGGCTGATGCGGTGCAGTGCTCCCGGATTTAATAAGTTTGTCAGTGTAATAGAGGCTCAGGGTTTTGCTGTTGATGCGCAGCGACAATTGCATTTTAGATTTGCTCATTATGTTGCATAACCTCGCTATGGAATCTATCGTAAATTCTATTTTAAAAAGCATTATCTTGGGCCACATTAGCATGGCTCTGCTGCTCCTCTCCCAGTGCTGGAGGGGGCTTTGCAGCCTGAGTGTGTTCAGGACCAGACGTGCATTTAGCTCCTCTCTGGGTACTGCATGTTCTGCTTCAGGTTTTTTGGGTCAGGGTGTCCAACCCATGCCAAAAACCTGGGTCCTGCCCTCTCATCCCACCGTCTATTGTGGCCAAAGCTGGCGCAGGTACCTGGTGTCCTAGTGGCTCTCTGGGGATGGCTCCAGCTGGCACCATGCCCCAGCATCGGTGGATGTGGGTGAACCACCGGGCAGGGCCAGGTTTGAGCTGGGCCCTTGAGCTTCCCAATACCCAACAGCATCTGGTGCCTTACAGAGGTGATTCCTGCAAATCTGGGTCTGGCTGCTTGGCCCTGTCCTTGCTGGGGCTCCACAGAGGGAATAACAGGGTCATTAGGGATGGAGAGGATCCCCAGGTTGAGGGTTTTGCTGTGTTCCACATTTAGAGCATCTGTGTGCAGGAAAAACCCAAGTTGGAGCCACAACAGGTCTTGTCATCTCTTTACTCCAGCAGTGGTTATGAAAAGAATAAAAACAAAAAGGCAGCAGTGATTTAAGAGCTCTGAGTGCCTCCAAAGGAAGGCCCTAAATGGCAAATAGGCTGTGAAATAAGCTAAGAAGAAAAGAAAAACAAGTATTTTTTTCCAGATTAGTACTTGTTCCCTCTGGTCACGTAACAGCTTCAGCAGAAGGCAGTGGTTTGTTGACTTGTGCTTTTTCTGAACTGCTTCTCTTCCCTCCACTGCTGCTCTCGCACATTCTCTGCCATTATCCCCTTCTGCTGCTGCTCCTCCTCCTCTCCCAGAGCCGGGTTCAGATGCTTGCCCTCTTGGAGTCCCATGGACAGGCTACCCCTGCGGGCTCCTCTCCCTGCCCTGGTGTAGGCGTGAGCTGCTCAGCTTAGGCCTTTCCTGTGGGGTTGCCAAGCAATCCCGAGCATCCCACTTCTCCCAGCTTGCAAGGCTGCACCTCCTGAGCAGGTCCCAGTTTGCCTTTCTAGGAATGGATGTCAACAGGGACCCTTTTCAAAGCCTTGAAATGCAGAGGCAGCTTTGCAGCACTGAGCTCTGTCCTGTTCCTGGTTCCTCATTCTCCAAATCTGCTGCCTAAAGCATCTCCAGGCTCAGTGAACCGTGAGGAAACAGCCCAGCGGGGCAGCGTGAGGAGCCAGCCCAGCGCTGTCTTTGTCTGCGGGTCTGAGCACAAGAGCTGCTGCGGCTCTGCCAGGGCAGCGGGGCTGGGAGGCTAAAAATACCCTCGTTTGTCATGCACAATGGATGGCGAGATGCAGTTTATGGGCCTCATTCACATTGTGGCTCTGTAGAACCCTGATGGTTTTCTCTAGTGTTCTCAAAGCCCCTGGGGGGAATGTGAAGGGTGTTTGGAGGGGACATGGGGAGCCTGTGTATGGGTTCTGCGGGATGCTGATAATGTCTCAGAGATGGACCATGGGCTGAGCTCATAGGGAATAAAAGGTGGCTTAAGCCGGCTGCAGGTATTTCAGGTATTTCTTAGGAAAAACGTGACGATGCAGGTCATGCACCGTCCCCAGCTGCCTTCCTGGGAGAGAGCCCGGACCGCTGGAGGCCTGCTCCCGCAGCATGCTCAGGGAAGCTTTGAGGCTGACCAGGCAGGGTGAGGGGCTGGGGGAGGCCCAGAGCTTTTGGGGACCCGGCGTGCACTGCATGCGCGCATCCCGCACGGCCTCGGTTTTCGCAGCGGTTGCAATGATGAATAGAAACCTCCCTCGCTGCGGGTATGGGGGGGGTGCCCGGGGGCTGCTCTTCCGTGAGCACGGCCCCGACGACCGAAGGATGGGGGCGGCCCCGGGCAGCTCCTGCCCCGGCCGCTGCGCGTTCGCTGGGGGGAAACCGGCGCTTTGTTGGGTCAGGTCCCGGCTCGGGGCTCCCCGCGGCAGGGGGAGGGGATCCCGAGGGGCGGGGCGGGGGCGGTCGCGCTGGTTCGGCGGCTCCGGGGGCGGCGGCGCAGCCGCGTGCGGGGCTGCCCGGTGCGGCGAGCCCAGCCCCGCGCATCCCGGTGCCGCCTCCTGCCGCCGGGCTGCCCCGGACGCCGCTGCTCGGGAGATGCCGCTCGGCGGGCGGGAACCCGCGGCTGCCCTGAGCCTCCTCCGCCGCCGCGGCGGGCGCCGCTGAGCGCGTGAGTTACCGGGGACGGGAGCGGTGGGGCCGGGCGGGAGGGATCCACCGGGAGCATCCCGGCGGACGCGGTGGGGTGGCGGGGGGGGGCTGTTCTGGGCGGCGGAACCCGTCCGGTCCGCTCCGGGATGGAGTTTCGGTGCGGCGGCTGCTCGGGACCCTGAGAGCGTGTCCGGTAACGGAGCCGGCTCGTTACAGCATCATCTCGAGCTGGAGCCGGCAGCGGTTCGCTCGCCCGCAAACGGATTCCAGCCCCCCTCCTCGTTCGGTTGCAGTGTCGGTTCTTAGCAGATGTCTTCATTAAGTGCTGCCGTTCACAGGAACGTTGCGTTAATTGAAATCACACCCTCCAGGTGAAGGTAAATTGTCAAAGTTGGGTGGGATGGAGTCTGGGTTAATGGGGTGAGGGAGGAGGGGAGGAAAAAGGAAAGGATGCTCCCACCCAGCCTCGGGAGCGAGCAGAGCCAGGCAGCTTTCCCTGGGTTTTTCCTTTTCTGAATTCATGCCTGTCTCCAGGAATTCCATCACAGGAGGAGCTCACTGCGAAGCGCTTGGTGCACGGGGAGGGAGGGATGGATGGATGGCAAAGGCCCTTTGGAGTCACCCTCTGTTTGTGTTGCGTGTGTTGCAAGGTGCCGTTATCCAATGCCCATGTGCTGTGCTCCCCTATTGCTGTGCGTGTCACCGTGCCCAAGTGCCACGCTGCCGAGGTGCTGGGCAGGACGGGCAGTGGGTGCAGGCAGCAGCCTGGCAGGAGCTGGGGGCATGGACCCATCCGTCTGGCTGGAGCAGCCTGGGGAGGATTCATGGCACCCGGGTGTGTGCAGGCGGAGATGGGGGAGAGCTGGGAAACCGGGATTTCTCAGCTTCTCACCAGTGACATTAACACCACCGACTATTTTCAGTTGCCTTTCATGGGGGTTTGGCACCTGCTGCCTCCACGGTGCTGGGGGGCTCTGTGCTGGGGTGGCTGCCAGTCGCTGTGTGCTTTGGCATCGGGGATCACCTTGCACTGTTTCCCCTGCTAATGCTTCCCGGTGTTTCCTGGGATGTCCAGGGCTCATGGTTGGTCTCTCAGCGTGCTGAGGATGTATCCTGCTGCCTTGGTATTGCTGCGTTCCAGTGGTACCCGCAGGCTGGAGGCCGTGCTGGGAGCTGTGCAAATAGAGATGAAGGTGCTCTGCTCCCCACAGAGCTTCCTGCTTTCAGGCTAAAATGGTTGAGGCGTGATGAAGCCTCACAAAGCACGAAATTAAGGCTATTTTTTTTTTCTGGATAATAGACAGAGAAAGCACCTGGAGTTGGTAATTTTTGTGGAGGGATGATTGAAGTGGGTTGGGGCTGCCCAGATCTGGCCAGTCGTTGGGAACGTGTTCTTGGCTCTGAGAGCTGTGGGGAGGCTCTGCTCGTTGTTTCACAGAACATACAGAAGGTTGGGTTGGTTTTTCCCCGCCATCCTTTGAAGTGATCCATGGGTTTGTTCGGCACCGTGGAAGCCTCAGCATGAGGGTACACAAATGCACTGCTGCAGTGTTGAGTGCACCTCTGTCAGGGTTAAGGTGGCTGCTTTTGGGATCCTCTCACAAGGATGTGAATTCTGTGTAGGGAGCTGAAGGGATGGTTTTGGAACACCAAAGATGGGAGGTGGGAGCCTGCAGGGCAGTTGGCTGGTGAGCACTGTGGCTGTGAGCACTCAAAGGAGCTCAGGGGGACTGGGATGGGACTGGGAAACCCCAGCCTTGTAGTTGTGGCTATTGCTCCTTCCTGGCAGCTTAGGCACTGCTTGGGGATGGATGTGGCAGAGCTGGAGGTGCTGAAGGAGCCATCATGGATAGACGTGTGCCCCCGGAGAGCCCTCGGTGTGGGGCAGCACGGTCAGGAGCCCCAGGCTGGCATCTCCTGGGGGCCTTCTGGTGCCCATCCTTTCCCTTCCCATCCTGCTGCTTCCTGCTGCTCCTGAATGGGAGGGACCTGGCCAGGCTAGGATGGTTTAGGATGCTCCATGGGATGCTGCCTTTGGAAAACCAGCTTTCCTGACCCACACACGGTCAGTCGTGCGTACCCCGTATGTTCCCCATTTCCACAGTCCCTTTGTTCCTATGTTCCCTGGCGAGAGCTGGGAATTTTCTCTCCTTCCCTTTCAAACTAAAGGGCCTCTTTCCCAGTTGCGTTCTGTTTCACCACCTCCCATCACTAGAACGTGTCGTCCTTAATCGTTGATGTCCCAGGCGGTGGATGCCGGGGCAGCCTGCTCTGCACTCGCTGCTGGTGGAGCGCGTCCCTTGTGCTGCTGTTGCTGATTTGCCTCCCGGTCCTGCACTGCAGGTTCCTCTTTCCCACCCTGGGTGCAGTAGTTTTTGTGGCCCATTTGCCTCGGTGCCTGAGGGATCCTGGATCACCCTGGTGTGGGAGGGGGGCTGGAGCATGAGCTGGCTGGGGTTGGGTTCTCATGGGGATGCAGGGGTCCCCACCAGAGCAGCTCATGCAGCACTGGCTGTGTTTACTCCCTCGGTGTATAAATACAGGTTTTTAAGTGTGTGCATTTACTAAATTAGTTTGTCGTCACAATTTTTCAAATGGATCAGCTGACGGCAGATAAATCCCTCTGAAGGTTATTGAGATAATAAAAGGCATGAGGGAAGTTCCATAATTTATTGGAGTTCTCTTTTAATTTACTGCCTTATGGGGTGAGAGCACACTGAATAATTAGTTCTTATGACTGATTTGCTCTTTTCAAACAAACCTGGAAGGGGAAGGGGAGCCGGTGGTGAGGCTTGAGGCTGAGCTTGGTGCAGAGGGGTTGATGGAGGTGGTGCAGTGGCTGAAGCCGTGTGGTGCCGGGAGCCTGCAGCTCCTCGGGCATCACCACGGAGCAGTGCAGAGGTGCCGGCTGGCAACATCTCTCCTTTCTGCACATGTGGAATAGGAAGTACCGAAGCCCCAGGTGCCTTCCTGAGGTGGTGGAGTGGGTCAGTGCCTCGGCTGGGTTTAAAGGTGACTGCAGAGCTGCTCCCTTTCAGACTGGTCTGAACGCCTGCTGCTCGTCGGTGGTGAATACAATGAAGTGGTAAGGTGATGTGTTTCCAGGGTGAGCTGACAGGGACAGGCCTGGTGCCGTGGTGACCCTCTGCCCTCCCAGCCCTGTCCGGCCCCAGGGGACTCACTGTGCCCAGGACCCTTGGGAGCACCCACTGGTGTCCCACCAGTGACCGGGGCAGTGGCCGGAGCTGCACGCTCTGGTGCTGCCTTCCACCGGCAGCAGCCTCCTGTTTCCTCTGTGCCCTTTGGCAGTGCAGGCAGGGGCTGCTGTCAGTGCCATTCCATGGCTTTCTCCTGGAATGCTTTGAGGTGTTTTGGGATGCGCGTTCTTGCAAATTGACGGGCTGAGACACCAGACGAGGAAGCAAAATTTTCTCCTCTGTTATTTCATTAGTTACTGAGATTAAAATTCTGTTTTGAAACTTCAATAAACCAGTCTGAAGGCAGCTCTCCCCTTTGCTCAGCTCACACTCAGATGCTCCAGGCATCATTGTGTCTTCCAGACTAGACAAGATTGAATTTCTAATGGATAGAAATGAGCACACAAGCTTGGAATCCCTTTTCATGTTTCATTATCCACTGCGTGCGTGCTCCCTACTCACTGCCTGGTACCGGTTGTCATGCCAATGGCTCCTGCCCACCCTGGGCCTTGATCCCAATCCCTCCTTGGCATCTCCTGACGTCCCCTCTCAGCCCCATGCTGCAGGATCTGTGCAATGTCAAACTCCCCTGTGTGCCATTCCCTGCGAGCCGTGCCAGGCTGCCTGTGTCTTGCTTTGGGGATGCTCTGTCCCAGTGGGAGGCAGGTGAAAATGGGATTTACATTTAGAAGAGGACATGATGCTTCCTTTGGGAAGTCGGATGGGTTCAGAGTGTCTCGAAACTGGGAATCAAGTGATGTCTAAAATGATCCCAAGGAATGGGTGCGTGGTGTGTGGGTGGGGCTGGTGCTTCTGGAAAACGGGATTGTTGAACCCTGGGAAGTCATTGCAACTGGAATTTATGGAAGTGGTAAAACAACTTTTGACAAGAGGCTCCCCTCCTCCGCAGCCGGGAGGGAATATTCCCCTCGTGTCGGATCGATAAACAATTAATGCAGAAGCTGGGAGCTGGAGGAAAAGGGAGAGTTTTCCAGCTTTCTGGACTCAATCAGGCCCTGGGGGAGACGCAGATGTGAGAATCTGAGACCTGCTGATAAAATCTTGCCCTTGATAACGGGCTCCTCAATTCCTGGACCACAGATGATACTTCCTTTGCTGAATGCATCCACTTTTAAATATAGAACTTGTTCCGAGATATTTATGCTTCCAACATGTTTAATGTAGCTTTACTTAATAATCTGCCTCAAAATGCTGGCTTTCCCCCACGTTTTAATTGAATTCTAATTTCCATTCGGAATCAGCTTAAATTAAATGAGTTTAGAAACATAGTAAATAATACATATAATTCACTTACTCCTACCATAAGCTGTGAAAGCAAAGGATCCAAATAACTATTTGACCCTGCATGTGGGACATCCTTCTTGATAGCACAAGATCTGGCATCCTTTTGCTAAATATGGTGTCTTTGGGATTTGGCCATAGGAAAGGAAATGGGAAGGAATAGGAATTAGGGAAGAAAAACAAATTGTAACTGGAAACTGGAGTCCAGACAGAGCTGCTCTCCCTGCTCCCCATCCCAGCCATCCCACCCATGTCCTGGTTCTCTGCAGCACCCCAGGGTGAGGGTCTGCCTGCCCCACAAGGACTGAGGATGAGGAAGGCAGCAGTGGCTCTGAGCCAGCAATGATCAGAATAAACCTGTTCCCTGTGGTGGATGCTCTTGGTTAGTGGCTCGATGTCGGGGTCCTGGGGTTGGGGTTTGGAGCCTGGCTGGGCTCCAGCAGCATTCAGTGCCTTTTTCTCTGGGGCTTAGGCTGTGTGATGGCAGGATGGAGACATCGGGTGGTGACGGCACCAGTGT